GCTGATAAATCCAAGCCCCAGAGAATCAGAGACATTCTATGGCAGCCCTAAAATGACCCTTCACGTTTCTTTAGCCATAAGGTCAGTCTCACACAAAAACAGGGTCACCGAATTACAATGTACGTTGAACCTTATGTGAAAGCATGGTTTGACAGGGGGGACTCTGGGATTCGGGTAGATTCCCAAGAAACTGAACACCTTGAACCCCAGGCTTCCAGGCCACTGGGAAATTTTGGCCTCTAGACCTGTCTGATGAGGGTCAGCTCTCAGCCTGCTCCCRGGGAGGGCAGGCTAACCTGGGAGGAATTAGCTGGAAAGTCAGGCCTCTCAGAGGGGTCTGCTATGCGGCAGCTGCTGCTGCCATGGGGGGGCTTCATGAGATGGCTCTTGGGGGACTTAAGAAATATGAAGACCAAAACTAACCATTGCAAACCCATGACTGAGGGGACACAGATAGAAACAAACTGAAAGGAAGCTCCTTCTTCCCTCCTATTTCTCCTTCTCTGTCTGGAAGCCCCGCTATGGACACACCTAGTGGAAAACCAGCTACTGAAGGAAAGATTTCGTTTTGAGAATCGCAGCTCAGCAACCACAAAGCAGAGCAYAGAAGAGTGAGCTTGGAACTGAAGGACAGTACTGTAATCCACAGAACTTGGTGGAGGAGTCCCCTCTACCTTAAAAAGCAAACCTTAAGGAGATAAGGGCTTTCTTGAAATTTCCTTCGCTTGCCAGAGTCAGATAGGATTAGGAGTTATGGTTGAGATGTGAGGTGTCTCCCAAAAGCTCAGGTGCGAGACAAAGAGAATTTTCAGAGGTGAAACGATTAGAGTATGACAGGTATAAACTAATCAGTGGATTAATCCACTCATATGGATTAATGGGGTGGTTACTGTAGGTAGGTAGGGTGTGGCTGGAGGAAGGAGGTCTCTCTCTTTGTTTCCTGGTTGCCGAGTCCTGAGCTTCCTTCCTCCACCACACCTTTCAGCCATGATGTTCTAACTCACTTCAGGTCCAGAGGTATGGAGTCAGCTGACCAAGGACTGAGACTTCTGAAACTGGGAGCCTAAGAAACTTTTCCTCCTCTACCTTGTTCTTGTCAGGTCTTTTGGTCACAGTGACACACACACAMAAAAAAACTGATTAAAACATTTAGTAAATGTTTGCTGAACACGATGGATGATGTTATTTTGTCTTCGTGACAACAGAATCCATTAGACCTCAGACCTCAATATTTATGATGATAGTATTCAATTATGGTGTTCAATGTATTTAGTTAGAAAGTTCCTTCCAAGCAAGATCATTCAGGAAAGTTCTATCAGGAGAGCAGGGCCTACCCTTGTATAAATGGAGTCTCCTCTGGCTGTCAGTGGCTGATACCTAGAGGTGTTGAGGGCAGCTTAGCYGCTCCTATGGAAAACAAAACAAAACACTGGTAAGAGGCAGGGAACAGCTCCCATGGTGTTGTGAGAATTTCTGGAGTGTCTGAGACTCCTGTAAGGTCTTTCTAACCCAGCACCTGCACCAATCCAGCATCTTTTTAACCAAATAAGGCTTACAGTGATGATTTCTGTTTGAAGAAGTTATTGGTAGCTGAGTGATTGATACACAGATTCGTGGAGGGAGGGCCAAAATACAATGACCTAGTATCTTCAGAAAACATAGCAATAGGAAGATGCAAAATGTACAAGATGCAAAGAACCTTGAATAATGCCGTGGGTTTTAAATAGCGTTGATTTTTAAATGTTCAGCCCAAAATTATCTATGTCAATTTAATTATACTTCCTTAGTCTTTTTCTTTCCATTGAAATAAAAATGACAATAAGAGCAACATGGCTCTGCAAGATACATATCAGATTTTTTTTCTTTTAAATACTCAAAATTCAATGAATATCAATTATATTGTATGTTTTGCATGAAAAGTCTCCAACCATTAAGAACTGTGCAAAATCACTTTTATTTCAATGTCAAATTCCAAAGAAAAATGCCCAGAAGTTGCTATGCAYGTTTGTTTTAACAGGTTTTATTTTTAGGATGCAGTTTGGAACCCAAATTCCAATGAGTCCCATGGGCTCTTCCCAGTCATGTGTTCAGGGAGAGGTTGACTTGAGTCTGTATTACACTGGATTATTTTATGGAAACAAAAGCCTTTATAATGAGGCTTGCTTACTGTCAAGGCTTCTAAGGCACATGGACTACTGTGATAATGTTTATATCCTAAAAATAGGTTTTTCCCTCTCAGCTTCATTTCTGCTGGAGCCCCAAACCAACGCAGCTGAAGAAAAGACTAATAATTTCTAAAATGGAATGGAAATAAAGATCACAGGACATTCAAACAATTTAAGCCGTCAACAAAGATTACAGAAACAAAATGCCCYGCTTGCCATTTGTCAGTAAGAGCAACAGAATAAAGAGATTTAAGCAGAAAAGCACATTTTAAACATGAAAGAAGAATGCTTAAGGAATGGGGTTAGCTTGCTTCCTTGTAGAAATCTCCAGTTTGTGGTTCTCTTGGGGAAAAAAAATCTAATCAATTAAAAATGCTATTCCACTTGTGAATGGAATGAGGAATACGTTTCTCCTGTTATTACATAAATGGAACCCATCCTCAGGGCTTTGAAATATAGCTTTACTCAGACTACACTGAATTTGTGTGTCATCTCATCTTTCTGCATTATAGTAAAATTGATTTTACGATTCCTTTCTCAAAAATTACAGTCTTGAGATGCTTTGGCTTGTCTTCCCTGATCTCACAGGCTGGGCATGTCATTTGTTCCTTTCTTCTGAACTGCATGTAGCTCTTTGGTACGTGGCCAAATCCTGGTTAGAGTTCTCAACCCTAGAAAGAGTGGTCTTTTTGGTAAAGCCAGGATACGTTGTTGGCTGATTTGGACTCTCTAAACTCAGTATCATTCCTGAAACCTTTCGCCCATCACTGGAATGGAATAGTTAGTGAAAAATTAATAATGTGATCACCATGCAAATGATGCACATGGCAACGTGGGTACTAGTAACTAACGCTCATCCTCACCTCCTGATACGGCAGCTAAGAGGCCCACAGTAGTATTCAGATTCCTGGCAGTGTGCTGGTGGGTTCTACATTCATCTAACGATTTGATTACTCAATCAAGAGAATACTTTACTGCCTTTTTCTTTTTAAAGAGACTCCCTGTCTGTCCCTTGATATACTGCCCAGTCTAAGTAGAAGGAAGAACAAGGTCATGTGTTGGCTTTTCATCACTGTGACCAAAATTCCTGACAAGAACAACTTGGAGGAAAAGTTTATTTTGCTTGTGGTTTTTCAGTTCACGATTGGCTGAACATCATGGTGGAAGAGGGAGGCAGAGGAAAGCTGCTCAGGACACGGCAGCCCCGAAGCAAGAGAGAGAGAACAAGGTGCCAGGGACAAGATCTAATCCCCAAAGGCACGCTCCCAGCGACCTACTTCCTTCAACCATCTGCCTACAGTTACCATTGAGTATAATCCATAGGATGGATTCATCACTGATGAGGTAGAGTGCTTGCCAAGCATGCACAAGGCCCTGAGATTGATCCCCAGCACTGCTTATATATTAATTTATACATATAAATATTAAATCAATGAATTAATATATATTAATATAACATCCAATCAGGACCTAGGACTCAGATCTTCCCTTTTAGATAATATGCAACATACTGACCCCTGGTGCTTACACCACCGGCATATTATTTCTCTGACRTCCACCACATATGTGCACTGGATTTGTGTGAACACATTGAACTGCCACCAGGACTGTGACTTCTTGGGGGCTGAGATGGCTTCCATTTGTCCACACCTTAAATAACTGGTTCATAAAAAGTTCTCAAAAAATATTTGTTGAATAAACACAATTATTATTTTATTTTTAGATGAAATATATGTCTTATTTCTGGTATGTGTTAAGAAATAACATTTTTAGAAATGAAACATTTCGRATTGCATGACACTCAAACTATAATGGTAGTGAGTGTAGAGGAAGCAGGCATAGGTAGATCTCCCTGAGGTGGCAAGAGGGGCCTTATCAAGTAAGGTTAGAACCCAGTCTCCCACAAGGCAGCCCACAGGCAACACCTTCCTTTGTTAAGGCCATCTAAAACATTCTGTTTCTTTTGTGCATAACTTCAGCATCAGCATCAAACTGGCATGAAGTGTTTCTGCTCATTTTGATTTTGGGGAGAAGAGGTATAGCTCTTACTCCAGCAAAACTTCAACAGTTGTGTGAATTCTTTCAATTCCCTCGGGATCACTAGTTTTTCTAGATAAAACATTGGAAGATATTTAACAGCAATTTGAACCAGGTTTTAGACTGGGAATTCAGTTATGCATTCCAAAAAAGCAATTTTCTTTTGAAGTAGCTCAGGGCAAAGAGGGTATTTTCAACTTTGGGGTGCCTAAACTCAGCCTCCTTCATCCTTTCAATCTAGTGTCCTTTATTTTCTTCTAAGACTATTTTGAATAACACTAGCTGAAAAGAGTCACTGGTGGTTGAGATTAATAAGTGGCTTTCTTTCTGGTTATGTCAAGTGTTACATGTTTTCTTCAGTTTCCATTTAAGGGACCTGGGCACATACTCAAGTGAATAGAGTAAGTCTAGAGTCTGTTTCAAACGTCAGCTAAAAAGAAAGGTTCCAACATGTGTTGGAAAATGTTAAGAAATAATGCTTAGAACTAGTTGCTTTTCCTTCCTTTAGGGGAGTGATTATTAAGGAGGCCACTGGAGGACATATATGAGATTTACCCAGGGAAATTGTTAGGCTACASAGACCTCCTCCATAAATATTTACGTATTTCTTTTTTTTCTCTCCCTAGAATCAATACTGCAGTGATCCACTGATTGGTGTGGACTGTCTCTTTATCAAGGGTGAAGTTAAGAACCATTGCTTAAGACTTATCAGTAGATAAAGCATTTCTGATTTGAATTCTACAAAAATGTAAGACAATATTTTGTTTTAAGTTACAGTATTTATTCTTTTTTTTTTTTAATTATCCCTCTTAGTCCTGCATGCATTGTTAGCACAAAAAGTTGAACTTGATTGCAACCTCCTTTGAAGAGAGGGTAGGTACACAATTGCCATCTGAATAGCTTTTCCCTAGATGGCCCACGAAGTCCAGACCTTGATAATACTGTCAGTAACCTACACAACGTTCATAGAAAAATTTACTAAATATCCTCTGTTTAATGTAAACAAGGCAGGAGGCCAACAGAGTATTACAGTAACACTATTTTACAGGGCCCAGAAGTATGATTATCATGTTTTAACATACCAAGTGTCACAATGACATGCATATTTTGACATATTGTACAACCCAAAGTGTAATTACAATTTGTGGTTTTAGCACTTCACTGTAACTTCTTCTGTCAATACCTAAGAACTTCATAATTAAATGTTGAATTGTATAGTAATACAATAATTTATGAAATGTTACCATGAATTTATGAAGAAATTCCATAATTTGTGCCCCATAAAATTAAGTGTAACAATCTTTACACTAGCAACAGTGTAAGCAAGCTAAGGATTTTGGTCCTCATATATATATATATACACACACACATATATACACACACATATATATACACATGTACAACACAATAATGTACAATTAAACCAAAAAGCTATGAATCCACTCACAGCTTCCATATTGCACAAACAGATGCTTTATGAGAACATTAAAGGGTTATGTGAGTTCTACCATGAAATTGGCTAAGACAAATCTGAGTTCTATCAAGTAAAGAACGTGGCTCATTAACAAAAATAAACCCAATGACTATACTGTTAGAATGTTAAAAAAAAAAAAGTGCCTACCTATTTATACAAATGTGAAGCAGGGCTAAAATGCAGTTTGGAACTTGGCTATGGCAATCAATGTTTGAGGTGGCACTTTCTACGCAACACAGTGCATTTTAGTCATTGTTGTGGCAAGTACTGAATAACTGAAGTATTCAGCTTCTGAGAAACAGTGAGGAAAAGATTAGTGTTGTACTATGTTAACAAATTCAACTCACTGTGATAACTTGTGCTGACTCTAGGTCTGAACTAAATATGAAAAAAAAGAAAAGAAAGAAGAAAACTAAAACTTAAGCCTTAGCTGAGAACAAATAAAAGTCATTATAACTTAGGAAAATTACATTTTTAGAAGCAGCATACATATATCAAATATAAGAATTAAAGCTTTTCTGAGCTTGGTTCATGAATTAGCTATAAGGTCCCTCTGTGAAATCAAGGATAAGAACATATTTGGTTTGAGACATAATATCATCGCTACTACACCTATTAAACACTACAAAAACATTAAGAAATATCTAATATCTCTTAATGCCTTGTTTTAAATACATCTGTAGATTGTAACTACCACCTATAGTGGAGACATTGAAGTGTTCCTTGAGTAAACTACAATAAATATAGCAAACTGAATGTTTTCCTATCACTCAAAATCTCTGGAAGAAAATCCTGCATGAAGTAACTCTCTCACTTTTTTTGCTTCACTGTTTTACTTAATGCATTTCTTATGAGCTAAGAAAGATTTGCATCAAATTAGAGATAAAGTCTTCTTGTTTTAACAATGGTACACATTGTAAAGCTGAGACTATTCATGATATAGTTTTTTTCTTAATAGTAAAAACTAATTATAAAGTAAATCAGAAATAGTAATACAATAAAGTAAGCAGATAAGTGTAAAACATGCTTCTAAGCACATGGCCACATGATGTGCATATGCAAACATGCTACATAAAAGGGCTTCTCAGGAGAGTAGAGACACATCTCTCCAGCTGGAACATGACAGTCTCTTCTCCAAATATTAGTGAATGGAAAGATGCAGAGGAAAGTGCTGCTGCTTAATATTTCAACTTAAAAAAAAAAGCTTAAAAGTGACAACTGAGGGATAAGTATCATTTAAAGACAGAAAAGAAAGACATAGCAAACAAATTGTGCAGCYCACTTGGCATGCTGTGCACAGCGCTGCTTGGCTAAACTTTTCACCCCATGTGTGCCCACTCCTGGACACCCCGAATTCCCACAATCCTTTAACATGTAAACAGGACATTCAAAGACTGTTTTGTTTAATCTCTTTAGAATCATTGCAGACCAGCAAAAAAACCCAACAAAATGAAAAAAATGTAAACAGTAAGAGGCCATTGGCATTCTGATTGCTAAGAGTTATCAGTTGGTTCCCCACCTGGACGCGCTTCGATAACAAAAACAAATTATAAAGCAATTTCATCAGCAATTTTCAGAAAGGGAGGGAAAAAAGCTTCTCAACCCAGTATGTGTTAATTTAATTGGGTTAAAAAAATATCATTTTAGCAAATGCTACCAATGATGAGCATAAATTCGATGTTGCTGCAAAAAATGACAATTTAAATCAAYTGGGACCCAGACATGGAAATCAACCACTAACATGGCTATGTGCACAGAGGAGTAAAAGAACATTTCTTTAAAAATATATATATTATATTAATCAAGAATTTATCATATTAAATTGTTATTCTTAGAAAAGCTGAAGAAAGTTAATGTTGCTCTACACATTTTTATCTCCTATAATTAACTCAATTCCTTTGTTGGTTCCTGAATTATATATATTTTTTCTCATTTACAGTTTTTTAAATATTTTTGTTTGATAAGAATCATAACCGTAAAAAGTTATAAAATTAGTAATTTTTTTGCTGCTTATTAATCCAAAAGAATATAAGCATTTGAGTCCCAGAGAATGTAAATGCCTTGCTGCCTAAAAGGATATTAAAAAAACAGAAGTATCATCAAAGTCGTGACATCAGAAATTGTGCAGCTTTCACACAGTTGTTGGAAATGCCTTATTTCCTGCAAGTCCCTCAACTGCTTCCGGGGTTCAACAACGTGCAAATCTATAGAGAGAACCACTGTGATAAATAAAGCAACAAAAACAGGTTGCCGCATTTTATTGCGTGTTCACTCAATGGTTCTTAAYGGTTCTGTGCAGTTTACTTCCTTTAAAAAGGCTTTCGTCCTCTCTCGGCTGGGTGGAACTGTCTTTTCTGATGGACTGTACACAATCGTCCGGATCCCTAGTGACTTGAAAGACGTCAGTCATGGTGTGGAGGAAGTGTGGTATTTCACAAATGCGATGGCCGCCAGCTCCTTACAGAACTCTTCTAACACAATCACACCCTCTAGCAACGTGATGTGGTCGATACTAGAGAAAAAACAGAGGACAGATTGACTATCAACAGATCTTTACATTGGGCGAAATATTTGGATCACTGAGCACATAAAATTTGGACTTACATAGGACCTTCAGGTTCCAAACCAAGCAACCGCTTTCTGACTAACAGCAGCTTGGGGGTGAAGTCTTGAATACGCTGAATTCGAACCATAAGGTCACCAACAACCTGCAGCAGAGATAGGGAGCTCAGCTCCTGAAATCAACTACATAAAAGTTCTTGGATAAAATCCTCTCTCCCTGTCACCAAATAGAGAACCCCAATTTTCACTACTCTGTAACCATCTTTGACCAAGGACTCATATCTGTTCTTTAAAATATTAAAATTATATATATTGTTTAAGCAAATAAATTTGTCTCCCACTCCCACATTTTGTAATAGTTCAGAATGTATGATAATTGCTTTAAAACAATAGATACACAATACTCTTCACTGGGTGTCACTAACTACATACAGTGATATGAAAAGGTTCAGCCATGCCAGAGAACATAAGAGAGTGAGACTCACCCTGACGATGACAGAGAAGAGGGATCGACAGCCAGAGGCCAGGTTCACGTAGGGGTCCAAAAGGTACTCATGTGTATGTGGATGAGGGAAGAGGGAAAGTCTGGACAACACTGAGGTCACCTGTAAATTCACATCGTATGGCTGTGCAGAAGGACAGAAAGACAGCAAGAGTAATGTACAACATACACACTCTATGTACCTAATTTACCACTTGGATTTGTCTGAGAAAGAAAAATCCATCCTCCACATGTTGTTCTTCAATGAAAATATCTATAACCAAACTACCTCTGACCATTTGCATCAAAGCACATATAGCACAGTCCTAAAACTTAAAAAACAAAAAATAGGAAGCGTGCATAGAGACAAAGTTCAAGAGGGCATCAAACCCACCAGTGTGTCATATATAATATTAATTACAAACCACAGAGGACATATTAAGTCCAAGATCAAAGAAGAGAAGGTATTCATCTTCTTAGATAGGGTCACATTATTCCAGAAATTATATTCCCCACCTCAGATTATCCAATGATTGCCAATTACCAAAAGCACACGTACAATAAGATAAAGTCCAATCACAGAGCCTTATCAACAGAATAGAAGTGGATGGAACAAAAATGGCTGCTACTCTATAACTCCAGGTCCTGAGGAGATTCAAAATGGCGCTTGCAGACAAGGAGCAGCTTAGCGACTACATGAAATCCGCTCTCCCTGCAATTGTACACCTATCCAGTACAGTTCCTCAGACATATTGTGTATACAATACACAACTTTACTTGAATTCTGGTTGTTAATTTCCATTTATTCTTCATAGAAGCCAGCCTGAAAGTACTTTACAGTGTGTCAACATCAGAGCAAAAGATCTACTAGACAAAACAAGTCCTTATTATTTGCTTAGAACTTTCAAAAGAAACCTCTTGACCCTTCCAGTTTTCTTTTTCCAAGGAGCCAAATGAAACCAATTGGCTGAAACAACATTGAGCTGGATGAGAACCTAGGTGAGTGAAACAGAGATGGCATTTCAGGGAAGGAAAGGGTGATTTAGGACCAAGTTTAACATTAGCAGTGGGAACTGGAAGCTTTATTCTCATCCTCTGAGCAGCCTTTAAACCCTTGATCATAATGAATATCAATTAGAAGTGAATCTCTGACATTCATAGGAGAATCTTAGACATTATACTGAATATCTTTTGTTTTATGGGCATAAAATCTCAACTCGTAGGCCTGAAGTCCAATCTTAGTCTTTCTTACTATAAAACTCTTGAATGTGGATGTTTTAAAAGAAGAAAAATTATCCAAGTCACTCTTTTTCAAAAATGTAGCCTTAAGCAAGAAAAATGAAAGGAAATTTGTATTTATAATAGAGTCTAAGAGTTTATTCTACTTGATAATATTTGTGATCCAATAGTTTTCTTCAAGACTCAATAAACAATTAAATTGTATTTTAGGTAAAAAGAAATGATTTATAAAAATAAATTTTTAAAAATGCATTTGATAAAAATGGGGACAAAATAATTTAAAATATAACAAGTCCAGAATTGTACATTCTTCATTTCAGGTTGTTAAGATTTTTGTATCTCTAAAGCCTGCCACTTGTAGGTGCCACCATTATTTGTCTTTAAGTAAGGCTATTTTATGATCTAGATTTTGTAATTTCTCTGTATGGTACTACTTTGGTTTGAAACTTTATTTGAACAAAAATCTAGGTCTTGAATTCTTTAAGAATTTTTAAGGCTGACGCTGATTCTTTCCTTCTTCTTTTTTGCAGTGCTTGGGATCAAACTCAGGGCTTTGYGCATGGAAGGTAAGCAAGAAGCACTCTCCCACTGAGCTATACCCCAGCCCCAGCCCAGATTATTTCTTTTCTTGTTTTTTTTTTGTTGTTGTTGTTGTTTTTGAACCCACAGGTGCTTAACTACTGAGTCATATCCCCAGCCCTTTTTGTATTTTTTATTTAGGGACAGTGTCTCACTGAGTTGTTTAGGGTCTTGCTAAATTGCTGAGGCTGGGTTTGAACTCATGGTCCTTCTGCCTCAACCACCTGAGCAGCTGGGATTATAGGTGTGTGCCACTGTGCCTGGCCCAGATTATTTCTTAATGATATCAAAATAAAATTATTTTCAGCAGAATAGAATTATCTCACTATATTCTGAATYGGTCTCTTCTTTGTAACCTTAAAACAAGTTGATATTTGGGGGGCTGTTAGTAGTGTTTATATCTATTATTTAGGATCCCTTTATTTTGTGCTTTATACAGTATTCACCTGAAAGGAAAGTTAATCAGATTCTCTGATATGTCAAAAGGACTTGGTCCATTTTTTTTACTGAACTCACACTGATTATAAAATCTGAATTTTGGGACGATAATCTTTGACTTGAAAGCAATTTGCCAGGTGCTGTGGTGAATGAGTATAATTCTAGCAACTAGGAAGGTTGAGGCAAAAGGATCACAAGTTCAAGGTCGGCCTTAGTAATCTAACAAGACCCTGTCTCAAAATAAAAAATAAAAAGGACTGGAAATAGAACTCAGCAGTAAAGTGCACCAAGGTTCAATCCCTAGCACCAAAAAAAAAAAAAAAGAAAAGAAAAGAAAGGAAAAGCACACTGCTGTCACCAGCAGTCAACCCTCTACTAAAGGATAAATATGCAGATAGTCAAAACAAGATGGAAACTATTTTTAAAAATCTCAATYGATAATTCTCTAAAATTTCTAAATATTCCTGTTTTAAACAACAATTTATATTTTAGAAGTCTTTTAAATTGCTTATTTCATTTAATTCTTACAAGCAAATTTGAGTAGGAAATTAGGTCAAGTAGCATCAATCTCACTGTAACAGTATGGARTGGGACAAATGACCAAGTTCCCCACCTAAGCTCACACTCTTCATTCTTGGAGCAGGACAGGACTTGGCTTCCTTATTTTTCCTGACTTTCTTTACATTATGTTGTGGATTTTGGCATTTTGCTATGTTTTTAAAATCACCACAGCTAAAAACAATACTACGWGTGACAACCACAACAGTGTCTGTGAACACTGGATTCTTTAACTTCTCAGCTCCACACTAGGACACACTGGTGCTTTACTAACTATCCACACTGAATGTTTAACCAGCTTCATTACCTTGGCCTTGCTGGGGATTCACCCTATGAAAATGCAAGTACATATCATTCTCAGAAAAAAACATTTAGAAGAGAAAGAAAATGAAATGAAACCAAATACACTGAGYACCCTGGACTCACGCACTGTCTTTGAGATCATATTGCCCAGGTTCTTACCAAAAATGCTTGGAAAACCAAGGTGCTAAAGAATAACAGTGTCAGGCTGGGCTTCAGAGCTTACTAGCTCTAAGTTATATAAAACAGGGACTCCTCATTTATAAAATAACACTGGAACTCTGTCTTGCTATGCTATGGGGTGACAGGAGGAACATCAGCTCTGCGGGGAGCTCTAAGCCTTCGGACATTCTCTCCAGGGACTTCTTCTGTGTCACTCTCCAACCAGAGGAAGAACACCCAAGTGTGATGACCACTTGGGGGATTTTTCAATTCAAGCCACAAACAACTATTTATTTAAAATTTAGATTCCTTTTTTAGTGCTTTTGGTCAAAATATCCAAAGATCACTAACTCCATGCTGACTGTTAATATCTCTTGCTTGTTAGCTTGATCAGATTCAAACTAATCCTGGCAAATTAGAGCAAAACAACAATCAAGTGATGAATTCCGGCCACCCAGGAGATTTACACAGCTGCAACACCAGACCACACTCAGGAACGCCAGATCTGCAGACTCGGGCTGTCTGGCTTCAACAGCAAAATGCTAGAAATAGCCCACATGCTATTAAGTAGTTAGAACAAGGACCTGGTCTCTTTATTGGTAACTGCCGGAAGCGGGCATGATTGAAGATGCTAACCTAGTGAAATACTTCTTAAATTATAATTCTTCCTACTTTCTGGTCACTAAAGGAAGTCTGCTTGTGGAATAAACTTCCTTTGTAACTCCTGACGCTCTCACAAGTATTTAACTCTAATGCCAAAAGAGCAAGCACTTTGATATATAAATTTAAAGTTAGTTCTAAATTGGTTAACTCAGCTTCTATATTGAGGCATGTGCCAGCTGCTTTATTTCAAGTGCATCTCAATCTCGGTGTGCAAAACTCTATTGTCACTGTTTGTCAGAGAGGGAGGAGGGAGTCTATAACCGGAATTCATTTCTCATGACAGTTGCAAGATATTRGCTGATGGCGATCTCCATCCACTTTTTGAGCAATTTAGTAAATTAACCTTTTTTATTTCTCTTCTCTCTTAAGAAAATGAGCATCATAAATTCATAAAGACCCAGGCTACTCCCTTCATAAATTCTCTATCTGAAGACACAAGTTCATTATCGCACTGAGATCAGAGTGTTCAAGATTCTATTGAAATGACATATGGGGTTTTCTGAACTAAGCTTGACAAGTTTTACTCTCTATTTTTACTCACYGACTGTAACACCTAAAATGCTAAGTTACTCAGAAAGGAAGTCACCACAACATGAGGAGTAAGATACACAATTCTGTGGTGTCTAGTAGGCCAAGTGATGGCCACTAGGCCAATAGCATACTCAATGCATCAGAAATTCGCCAKCTCTTGGCAACTAATCCATATGCAAAAGTCATCTAGTGGAAAAATAAGAAAACAACAGAAGTACTTAACAGAAAAATCTAAACAAGGATTGAGATTGTACCATGGTAAATGCTAACAAAATAATACAAAGATTAGTATTTTAAAATGCATTACCTGGTCAAGAATTCGGCCCATTCTGTCAAATAAAACTTTCAAAAAATGACCTTCAAAAAAAGCTTCTTCTAAATTGCACTTTTCCAATGCTTTTGGAGACCCAGGCCACTCCCATCTTAAGCAGATAGCACAGTAGTCCCGGAACTAGGGGGGAAAGCATTTGGATCATTAAAGAACTAACAAAAACCACATTGACATAGAATATAAGTGACTTCCTCAAGTAGGCATATAAAGAAGCATCTGAATGGGTGAGGTACCCTAGGGGAGGAGGCAGTTAGGGGGCAGGTGACACCCAACAAGGAGGGGCACCAGGAGGACTCTCTCCTGCGGTCACCAGTATACGCTGGTGGGAAAGGCAGGTTTAACATGGAGAAGATACTTCCTTTAATAACTGTGCTCTTGCTCTTTCTTTAAAGCATTTAATCATTAGTTATTTTCATGTCAGATTTGAGCACTTTTTATTTAATTATTTATTTTTTAGTGCACCACAGAGGTACATAATAGTGGGATTCATTTTAACATACTCCAAAATGCATATAACAGTTTTCTTCATTTAATTCTCAGTACTACCTCCTCCCCTTCCTTCCTCCTCCCCCYCACCCCTCTTCTCTACTCTATTGGTCTTCCTTCAATTTATTTATTTTTTAATTGGTGTATTATACTTATATAACTATAATTATGCTGCAGAAGCCCTAAGAAGGTTAATGTTTTAAATAGGAGGGGCTAAACAAGTTCTGCAAAGTTGCAGATACAAGATCAATATATAAAATCAGTTGTTTTCTATACACTAGCATGAAAAATCAGAAAATAAAATTCACAAAACTATTTCACTTATGATAGCATTGAAAATAATGAAATGCTTAGGAATGAATTTAACAAAGGAAGTACATGACTTGTATACTGAAAACTAGGGCATACTGTTGAAGAATCTTGGCCATCCCGTGCTCCTGAATGGGAAGATTCAATATTGTTGAGATGGCTCTGCTCCCCAATTACATCTATAGACTCGGTATAATCCTTATAAAATTCTAACAGTGCCCCCCCATTTTTTTCTTTTTAGAAATGGACAAAGTAATTCTAAAATTCATTTGGAAGTACAAGGAACTACAAGTAGCTAAGTTGGAGGACTCATACTTCTTAATTTCATATTGAATAATCAGACAATAATCAAGACAGTCCTGGGATAGGGACAGAAACATAGACCAGTAGAACAAAATGGAGTCTTGAAATGAACCTTATGTTTATGGCCAATACATGGGAACGAACTTTTCAACAAATGGCACTAAGGCAACCGGATATCTACTCCACCCCACACTATATACAATAATTAATTCAAAATAGATTAAAGACCTAAAAAGAGCTGGGGGCACATGGTGCAGGTCTGTGATTCCAGAGACTCGGGTGGCTGAAGCAGGAGGATCACAAGTTTGAGGACAGCACAGGCAACTCAGTGAGACCCTGTCTCAAAAAGACTGGGAGTAGAGCTCAGTGGTACAGCGCCCCTGCATTTAATTCCCAGACTAAACAAAAACAAAAACAAAAACAGCCAGGCACAGTGGTGCACACCTGTAACATCAGAGGCTTGGAAGGCTGAGGCAGGAGGATCATGAGTTCAAAGGCAAACTCAGTGACAGTGAGGCACTAAGCAACTCAGTGAGATCCTGTCTCTAAATAAAATACGGAAAAGGGTGGGACATGTGGCTCAATGGCTGAGTGTCCCTGAGATCAATCCCTGTACAAATAAAACAAAAAACAAAAACACCTAACTGTACATGCACAAGCTAAAACTATAAACTCTTAAAAATTTGCATAAAAATCTGATTTTAGACTAGATGATGATTTGTAGGCATGAATATTCAATAGAATATTTGAAGCCACAAAACAAAGTACTGATGCATGCTATGACATGAATGAATATTAAAAACATCATGCTAAATAAAAGAAGCCAGACATAAAAGGCTACATAGAGGGGGCTGGGGTTGTGGCTCAGTGGCAGAGCGCTTGCCTCGCATATGTAAGGCACTGGGTTTGATCTTCAGCACCACATAAAATAAATAAATAAATAAACAAAATAAAGATTTTTTTTTTTTAATTTTTAAAAAAAGGCTACATATAGTACGATCCCATTGGTAGAAGATAGCAGAAGAGGCAAAGCCACAGAAACAGAAAGCAGACTGGTGGCCCAGGGGGTAGGCCTGGGAGGAGGAGTGGGAAGAGGAAACATGAAAGGGACTGCTTAACTCAGTCAGGTGAGTGACAAAAATGTTCTGAAGTGAGTTAGTGATGATAGTGCACAACACTGTGAATGTACTAAAAGTCATTGAATTGTATACTTTGACATTGTTAAAATGGTGAATTTTATCTTAATATATATTTGTTAAAGGAGTGGTATTTGTTTTTTACATTTTTCAATGTAAAATGCTATAGAAAGGAAATCAGAATGAGAGAAGACCATTTAATAATTAAATCTTGGAGAAAGCAGCTTCAGAAAGGTAGAAGAAAGGAGCGAGGTGGGTAGTGGAGCAACACATGTCAAATACTAGGGACCGGGAATTGAGGATAACAGCCYGAGAGTTGGGCACCAGGGTGGGGGGTGGGCAGAATTATCATGCTATCATGTGTAGGATCAATAGGGGAAATGGATCCAGGTGAAATTTAACTTAAAGAGAAAAAAACAAAATTAACAGAGCATAGAGAAAACTTGAAATAGAGACCACAGTTAGTTAAAAATGCAAAGTAAGGTCACAACTGGACTACTTGATTTGGGGTAATGGCTGTGGGCAACTAGGCAATGTGACAAGGTATGCAAGTGCACTTAGATCTCATTTCCAAAAATTAATCATGTCACTGACCTGCCTGTGAGCGTCTCGGAGGTAGGTATCATATCCAGTGCCCTCAACATGGTAGGATGATTTTGCTTCATCCGGGACCAGACAGAGAAAACTTGAATGAAAAAGACCACAATTAAAAACAGAAATACTCTCATAATCCAATAGTATTTTCRTATCTATTAAAGTATCTAGTAATATCTTAAGTTTATTCAAGCGTTAAAAACAATTGGAGCCAGGTGCAGTGGCACACATCTATGATCCCAGCAGCTCAGGAGGCGGAGGCAGGAGGATTGTGAGTTCAAAGCCAGCCTCAGCAAAAGTGAGGTGCTAAGCAACTCTCTGAGACCCTGCCTCTCAATAAAATACAAAGAATAGGGCTGGGGATGTGGCTCAGTGGTCGAGTGCCCCCAAGTTCAATCCCTGGTACCTAATAACAAACAAAAAAACAAAAGGATACTTGAAAAATAAAATTATATTTTAAGTCCTTATTATGAATCAGATTTCCAATTCACTGATTAAATACTCTGATTATTTAAAGTTTTATTAAACAATGATTAATTCCACTTGAGCTAGAAGTAAGCCTAAAAGGGACTTTTGGTTTTCTTTTTAGATTGCTTCACAATGACAGATTGCCATGGTATCTATTAATCTCAGGAAACTAGCTTTTAAGTAATTGAACTTCAGAAATTTTTATGCACCACAATTTTTCATTTGAGCCACATGCAATTTTTTTTTTTAACATCAACTGCCATACCCAGGCATATCAGTGACAGGACTAAAAGGACAGGGGAAAGAAAGAAAACTGCCACAGAAAAGGTACTTAAAAAAACTACAAAATCATGAACTAAAAACAAGGAATATCCTGTTTAACACATGCTTAATAAGCACAGTTTGTCAAATTGGCTATTCTCAAATGTTTTTATAATTGGAAATTACTTAAAATTAAGTCTTTTACATATATAAACCTGGATACTCAAGGATTCAATTAACCACTACTATTTTTAGATTTATTTTTCTATTAAGCAGAGCTGTTCTCTCGGCATCCACAGCTACTCCTAGGCTGTCATGGGCTATATAATAAATTTAAAAAGCTGACATACTATCTGAAGGAGACTGAGTTTTGAATATATTTTAAACAATCTAGGAGCAGGGCTAGTATATATTATAAAAACAAATAAAAGAGATATAAGTCAAATTTATATAGCAACTCACCTATTTACAATTTTATGGACTTCAGTTTTCCCATCATTTCTAGGGTGGTCTGGAGTAGCAGGAGGTGAAGAGTTAAGCCACTCTTGGTTTGATAAAATATTATCTGGTGGAATGTCAGTAAATAATGGATCTTCTTCCAGATCTCTATGTTTAATTTAATGATGCATAAAAAAATTATTATGACATTTTCTAAACCAAAGGGTCTTTGCTATGTTCTGAAAAAAATTACATAATTTTTCTAATATAAAAAATTGAGGAATAATATCTTTTATAAACAAATTACTATTTTATACTAACAATATCAAGACTATGCTAATTTTGTTATGAGGTTTAATGAATGTCTTACAATTTTAAAGGATGGTAGGTAGTATCAGGACTTCTGGATTTTACTTTTAAAACTTGTAAGCTATTAGAGGTACTTTTTAAGCATAGGGAAAGAACTAAGAAAGTTCTGTCTCCAAGGTGAACATTCAACTCACAGAATCAAACACATACTTACACTGCTCCTGCTATTAAGCCATTCTCTACCACGTCTTTATCTTCTGGGCACAAAGGTTTATATTCTGTATAGTTTCTTTCTTCAAGATTTCTTAGGACTAAGTTGTAAAGAATATGCTCATTGGGTTTTTGTAGAAGATGTTCAAACATTCTCAATGTCATGATGCTTATCTGAAACCAAAGTTGATAAAAGCTGACTGAAAAATATCTTCACACATATATTAAAATCAGTACTTTAAAGAATCCAAGCCCAATACTAAATCATTACACAACTTACCTCATCAGATATGTGATCGCAATGCTCAATTAACCTATGTCTTAAAGGATGTCTGCTAATTTCCGCCAGAGTTTCTGGTTCCCTCTGTTCTCCAAGGATAAAAACCACCATTTCTTGAAGCAATACATCAGAGGTTACTTGCCGAACGATACGATGAAGCAGAGCAGTTGATGTCAGAATACCCATCTCAGAACTGAGCACAACAAACAGGTCATTAGAGGGCAGAAACGACAGTCTTTTTTTTTTTTTTTTTTTTAAGATAAGAAGGTACTTACGTTTGCATTAACTGAGGTTCCATAACACCAACGAAAAATCTTTCATGAACAGCTTTGGCAAGAGCAACAGCAGCAGTCTAGAATATAGTATGAGCGTAATTATTTTTTAAGGGAAAGAGATTAATTTGTAATATCAGCAAATCAGTTTGCACTCCCCAAGTTAACATAGAAAGTAAATGCTTGCCTATCAACCAAAAACCTAAATTAGAAGTTAGCTATTTGATTATTCACATTTTTTAATTTCCCAAAATAAGAGGAACAGAATGAAAACATTATCCCAATAACCTTGGGGAAGAAGTTAACATCTTCCCCAAAAGGAGAACCAGAGGTAGACAATGTTGTGAAGTCAGTGTTTGTTAGCACTATACTAGAATACTCAAAGAAACAGAAAAGGACATAACTTGAACTTTGGTTGGGTCAAGAATTGTTATACACACATATACATACAATTTTTAAAAATTTATTTAACTAAACATAGTATCCTAAGACAATTAGATTTACTTGGGGATATAAATTATGGATTCAAACAGATTACTTAGTTGACATATTCTAAATTTATCAATAAAAAACTAAAAACTTCAAACCTTTTGCGCTTCCTTAATGAGTTGATCACAATAATCAAACCAGGAAAGAAATGAAATTAAGGCTCGTTTTCCCGGAAATGCTGAAGCATCTTCTTTGTGACTGTACGAGTCCAAGCTGTGGACAGAGGGAAACAACAAGCCGGGGTTACTCGAGGGCAGGAGCTCATGCAGCACACRTGGGAACGCCAGGGCACAGGGATGTTCATTATAAAATGAACTCAGAACACACGGTATGTCATGTCCACAGAGGCAATGCTGGATGACAATCACAGGGGACTTTTGGCAGAATCACAGGTAAGAGAAAACCTTTTAAATCAAAGATGTAAATCATTTTCACCCCTAAGAGGGAAAAGAGACTACAGCAGGATGGAGCAGGAGAAAAAACAATTACACAGCGCCTCATGCTTCTGCCAGCAGTCTGACCAAGGGATGGCAGTGAAAGGGGGAGGTTCTCAGCTGCTGGGATGTGAGGAAAGGGGGCAACAGAGGATCTGCAAAGAGAAAGCGGCTGCCCAGCTGCTCTTCTGGCCTTAAAATGCAATCCAGTCCCAATGTCTACCTGCAAGGTGACAGAACACAGTCTGGATGGAAAAGCACATGAAAAACAAGGAAGGGTCAAACATCTGGAGAAAAATAAAAGGGAATCATGTCAAAATAGCAGGCTGTTAATAGGTGGTGGGATTATGAGTAGTTTTGTTTATGCTGCTTTTTAAGAACTTATAAAATGTTCTACAATAATCATATATTCTTATAAGAATCGAGTGGGGAGTCCAAAAAGGTGGGAAGAGGAATGAAAGAATGAAGTAGGAGACATTCCACTCAAGCAGGCCACAAGACACACGAGACTGCTGTAGAGGCTGTGTGAGTCATTTATCAGAAAAAATAGAGTCCTCCTTTAGATTTTTTTTTTTTTAATAAAAAGAACCGGGTAAAGATACTGGGTATGTTTGTTTGGTTTTTTGTTTGCTTCATGGCATTATGGATTGAATCCACAGGAGCTCTACCACTGAGCTGCATACTCAGCCATTTTCAGTTTTTATTCTGAGACAGTATCTTGCTAAATTGCCTGGCCCTGAACTTGTGAGCCTTCCAAGTAGCTAAGATTATGGGCATGGCCACCACATCATACCACAGTTCCTGGTCTTAATGTAAACCCTCAAAAACTGATCAGCATAATAGACAAAATAAAAGTACCTCAACTATATAACAGCTGGACTGTCCCCACACCACCTTGTTACCACTCGATAAATTTAATGTACGCCTCCATATTCCATTTAGTGTCATTAGTAAAGATCAAAACTAAAGATTTTTATCATTGTGAAATAAAAACATTTTTTCGAATGTAGGTATAAGAGGTCACTTTTAGGGGAAAATACAAAGAATGGTGCTTACCCCCAGTTAATTGCTTCCACGGTTTCAATATCTAACGGGTCCACCGACTGAGGTAGGGCCTTGTACAGGGAGGCGAGCCTGTCAGTCAGGAGCTCACACAAGCAAGTGCTCTCAGTAAGGCACTTGGCGGCCGCCGGCTCTGGCAGACTCACCAGCAGCATCAAGCCCTCGCAGGCCTTCACAGCTATCCGGCCATCCTAAGGGGAAAGACATACCCTCCAAGTCGTGAACTAGACACTCATCAAGCTGGAAAAACTCAATATAAAAGGATTCAGTGTTTTACATTATTTTGACATTTATTTTCATTACTTGGGATTGAACCCAGGGGTACTTAAAACTGAGCCACTTCCTCAGCCCTTTTTATATTTTTGTTGAGACAGAGTCTTGCTAAGTTGCTCAGGGTCTCACTAACTTACGGAGGCTGGCTTTGAATTTGAGATTCCTGTCTCATCTCCAGAGTTGCTGGGATCATAGCTCTATGYCACCATGTCTGATGTTCTCTACTTTACATGCATGTGATCATGTTAAAGAGAAAAAGTCAAGAGGACGACTCACAGGACTTCTGGTGAGATTTAACAAAGAATTCACTAAATTATAGTCCTGGTGTGGACGAACAACAGGGGCCTCGGGCAGTGAGGTGACACTGAGGTCATCCAAGCTCGTGGACAGGTCGTCCATCTGATGAGGGGGCTCCTCCTCTGACTCCGCGGGCTCTACTCCGGTGGCACCATGCAGGTCCTCTGGCTGATGGGACTGTCCTGTGTCAGCTGACAAGGAATCTTCACCTTTTAATATGTCTTCTGAAATTACATTTGTTGCTCCTTTGGAAGTCAATGATTTCAACTTGTTCTGAAAAGAAATACAAACATATGTATGTTTGTATATTTGATAAGGTTCATATTATTAAGAACTTTATAACCAGAAATCATACTTTCATGGATTTTTCTATAACTAATATACCMCATGTCTAAATAGCCATAAGTATTATGTAAAATGAAAATATCCATTTCTTTTCTCAATTATTTTAAAATTTTTGATGGTGCTAGGGATTGAACCCAGGGCCTCACACATGCCAGGCAAATGCTCTACACTGAACTACATTCCCAGCCCTTTTWATTTTCAGACAGGGTCTCACCAAATTGCCCAGGCTGCCCTCAAACTTGTGATCCTCCTGCCTCAGCCTCCCAAGTAGCTTGGATTACAGGTCAGTGCTATGGTGCCCAGCTTTGGACTTTTAACAAACCATGCTTTATATATAATTTTACAATTGCAYAGAAATTAATGATACTCTTCATATTAACTACAAAATGTTTTACCCTTACCATAATGAAAAATATTAAAGATAACTATTTGATCACAATTAAAACCAACTAATAATAGTGTGTGCGTGTGAGGGGGTTCAATTATAGTTATTTTTTTCTTTATTACTAGGCTACTATAAATACAGTGTCTCATTGGCAATTCTTCTAAGATCATGAGGGTAGAAGACATAAAATTATAAACAAAAATACTTTAAAATCAAAAGTTCAGTTAAAAAGTTAGACTTAATTACAATTTCCACCAAAGTTCTCAAATTTTCTTAAATATATATGAACTTTTTCCTTATACTTCCTTATCCTTCGGCTTCATAAAAATACAAGAAATCACTCTGAGACATTTTTATTTGTATCTGAGGATAAGAAAATGTACTTGAAATGTTGGTGCCCTCTTCCACACACCCAAAGAAAATCTTAACTGCCGAAATTAATTAGTTTCAAGGGAAGATGCTATTTCYACTTAAATGTAAGAATAAATATCAGATCACACAGACAGGCTAAGGCGATCACAGGCAGCTTCCACACAGGGCCACCACAGCACTTGCTCATCTCAGGAGCTCGTTAAAGCTGAAGGAAGTCAAGGTTCTACTTCCAAAGTTACCGTGATTATACATCACTTTTACTAAGTTTTGTTTAGACCAATCTYCTTGAGAAATTGAGCACACATTTATTAGAAAAAAAACAACTCTATGGAACCCAGTGAATACGCCAAATAATTCCCCCCCCCTTTTTTTTTTACAAATTCAACTTCAAATCAAAGTTTTTATGAATGTAAGATATTTCACTCCATCTAAAATACTAATAATATTGTTGGGGAAACTATCTTGAATAAGAACAAGAGGAAGAAACTCTCCATATAGTAGTATTTCTCAAAGTATAACCCAAGACTGTTGGCACCCTGGTCTTCTGTGGGGCTTGACAAAAAAACAGATTCCTGGGTCCTGACCTGCTGAGAATGTCTAGAGGTGGAACCAAGGAATCTGCATTTAGACAAGTTCCCTAGGTGATAGCAACTGCTGCCCAACTCTTGCAAAGTGCTTCCACTAAAAATGTCTCTTTCCATGTAAGGGATCTCACTGGTTCTCACAACACTTTTGGACACACAACTGTTGAACCTCTAAAAACCCAGACTTCCCTCCTAAATCACAGATTAGCAATACCAACCACCTGCTCATTGTCTCAGGGAATCATGTAGAGTACTCAAAGCATCCAGAACCAAAATTATCCTCTTTCCCTCAAAACAAGCTCCTTTGGGGCTCCCTTCTTTCCATGGGCAGCAGTAGCTTGACTACTTCAGGATCTGCTTCCTGTACCTTAGCAGTTATACAGCCAGGTAGCGCTTACCTCCAGGTCTTCATCTCAACCCTCTGCTGTAACTCAGGTACAGTTTTTTTTTTTTTTTTTTTTTTTTTTTTTTGTGGTGGGGGATACAGGCCATTGAACTCAGGGGCACTTGACCACTGAGCCACATCCCCAGCCCTATTTTGTAGTTTATTTAGAGACAGGGTCTCTGTCTGAGGCTTAACACCTCGCTTTTGCTGAGGCTGGCTTTGAACTTGCAATCCCCCTGCCTTATCCTCCCCAGCCATTGGGATTACAGGCATGTGCCACTGCACCTGCAGTTACAGTTCTTATTATTTCTTGTCAGGGTTACTCTGGCAGCTTCCAAGTTGGTTTCCCTACTTTTCTCTCTCCTACCAAAGGAACCCATTGTACAAAGTGCTGCTACCAATTTCACTTCTTTGTGTTTTGGGTTTTTTCTTTTGTTTTGTTTTTTGATGCTAAGAATTGAACCCAGGTATGCTTAACCCCTGAGCCACATTCCCAGCCCATTTTATTTTTTTATTTTGAGACAGGGCCTTGCTAAATTGCTGAGGCTGGCTTTGAACTTGCAATCCTCCTGAGTGGCTAGGATTTAGGCATGTGCCACTGTGCCTGGCCCCAATTTCACTTCTTAAGGGGCAGAGACTGTCATGTAATAATATTTCTGCTCAAGAAATATTGGTGGCTCCCCAGTGTCCACAATTAAGCGTGAATCTCCATCCTGCCATTCAAATCCTTTGGCAGCTCCTAGCCTGTCCAGGCTACTCTTACACATCTTAGTGTTTTCTGAACATATTTTATTCCTTATGTTCACCTAATCTTACCTAAACATCCATCAAGGCTCATTTCAAAGGTGACCTCTTTCATGAAGTCTTTTCTGATGACCTAGAACAAATGTCACTCTTCATCCTATGAGCACTTAGGGAATTTCATTTGAATCATTTTTATGATCTTCACCTTATTTCACCCTCTATCACAGTATCTGAACATTGATCGTCCCCTCTTCATCACACTGTAAACAACTTTGGGCAAAAACTATTTCTAACACAACTATCATATGTATGCACTTGGCCCATAGTARGTGCATGTACTAGCTAATACGAATGAAAGAGATTTGACTTCAGGGGACACATGCTTGAGAAGTGCAAAATATTTTCACTACCATCTGTATTAAAGTATAAAACTGCATTTCTCTAAAGATCCATTCTTTCAAGGGTTAATTAAGCAGTTATTATACTGTACTAGATACTAGAGAAGCTAGGGAAAACCAAAGATTAATAAGACAGAGTCCTTATCCTCAAGGAGCTTATTGACCAGCAGGAGAATATGAAAGGCACATAAATAACTCCAATGCTAGGAATGCTATAATAACTGACATTAAAARCTTGTGAATATGCGTATTTATTCAAAAAAGTGGAGACATCTACCACCTCAGGCTTTGGAGAAATATGTGCTATAAAAATGCTGCAAAGGGGCTGGGATTGTGGCTCAGCGGTAGAGCGTTCACCKAGCACRGGYGGGACCCGGGTTCGATCCTCAGCACCACATAAAAATAAAGGCATTGTGTTGTGTCCATCTTCCCCTAAAAAATAAATATTTGAAAAAAAATGCTGCAGAAAGCAGGCATGTCACCATTCTGAAGGGTGTTCTTCATAGTGGTTTAAATGTAAGTTTCTCTGAAGGCAGGAACAAAAAGTACATCTCACTATTTCTACCTATAGGCCTGAGAACTTCTTCTGCTTCTGACTTGTAGCTACATACTTCTGAAACAAGTTTTAGAAATTTTAAGAAAGAAAGAAATCAAACTTAAGTTTGGGGGAAAATCCATATCTCTAAAGTACACAAAGGATCTAAGAAAACATTAGCAAAAATGAACTTTGAGAAGAAAAATCTCATACTCAAACTGATCTATTTATTATAAAAGAACTGGCAAATATTTAGAAATATAAAATCATAAGACTATTCGAATCATTTTGAATCAAACTTGTAAAATAATAATGTATAAAATATTATGCACACCATGAAAAACAGGCATTCATAGTCTTTAACACTACCTACAAATTAAAATTCATATAAATTTTGTCCCTAAACCACTTACCTACCTTCAGTTAACAGTGCCTAATAGGGTCCTAAATTATTTCTTCAAAAGTGTGAGTAGAAGACAAACTCATCTATTAGAGTGGCTAACAAACACACAAACACACACACACACACACACACACACACACACCAAAAAAAAAAAAAAAACAACAACAACAACAATAAACTTGATAACACTCAGTGCTGGGTGAGGACAGGGAACAAAAGGAACTTCCAAATATTGTTGGGATGTGAGATGATAAAGCCACTTTGGAGAACAGTTTAGCAGTTTCTTATGAAAATAAATACATGTATATATGTATACAACAAACTAGTAATCCTGCCTCTAAGAATATTTCCAAGTGAAATGAAAATCTAAATTCAGACAAAAATCTGTGTGTGAATGTTTGCAGTAGCTTTTGTTATAACTGCTCCAAACAGGAAAAAACCCAAAGTCCCCAACTGATGAACCAAAACCTGTGGTACACAGGGACCTACTCACCTGAACAAGGGAACCAGAGCCTGGACAGATGTTGGCTGCACTGAGCTAGGTGGAAAAGCAGGCTCACATGCTTTTGAAAAGAGAATTGTCAAGACAGAAAACAGGCCATTACTGCTGGAGGCTGGGAGCGGAAGCATGGACAGCCAAGGGCCTGGGGGTGGGAGATGGGGGGCAACCTTGTGCCTAGACTGTGGTGGTGGTTACCCTGTTTTATGTGTTTGTCAGTTCACAGAGATATAGACCAAAAGGAGTAAATCGTGATGCATATAACTTACACCTTAATCTAAAATGAAAGACAGACAAAAGAGATTTTTTTTTTTTTWAAATAAAAACACTGTAGCTATTTTTTTTTTTTTAACATACTCCTGTTTTCACTACTGGAACAAAGAAAGCAAATGCAAGCAAAGAATGCACAAAATTTAATTTATACTTTAAGACTGAAAGTGAAGTCCAAAACATCAACTGACTTAAGTAAACTATGATTTGATGATTATGGCTATAAAACAGCACAAATAATTAGAGCAAACCCAGCTGCCATATGAGGTTGAAGAGTGATTTTTCACATCTTTCCAAATCTGCACATGTCCTCTTTGCCCCACGCTAGATTACCCCATCACACAGTGGAGCAAGCCTGGCTGAATCCGTCTGATCTGAACTGTGGTGACTTCTCCAACAAGCTGTAATCAGATACTGTCTAGACCTGGTACCGCCCTATGTATCTGGCTCAACTGCATTCTTTGAAAATCTCTTTTTCCCAGGAGATTTCAAATTAGAATAAACAGTGATCTTTTTTTTAAAATATTTATTTTTTAGTTATAGGTGGACACAATATCTTGATTTTATTTTTATGTGGTGCTGAGGATCGAACCCAGTGCCTCACGCATGGTAGGTGAGCGCTATACCTCTTAGCCACAACCCCAGCCCCAAAACAGTGATCTTAAATGAAAAACAATTCTGTGAAATGAAACAAGCTTTCTGTTAACTTGCAAAGTGTAATTCCTCCTTAGCTTACTCACAGAACTCAATTTTCATAACGATCTGCATGGAGGCATATTTGGGGTTTGAGAAGCATAGCATACCTCCAGAAAAAAGTTAACCAAGTAGGGATCCTGTTTCAGCTTCGCACACACAATACAGAGGAACTGAATCTCTTCATTTTCCGTTGGTGTTGCAAGGACTTCACCACAGAGTCGAATCAGTTTCTGTCAAGAACATTTTTAAAACCTTGAAAAAGTATGTAAATAGCCACTCATTTGCTTTAAGGATATTTAAATATTTCAACTAATGCAAATACCTTGCATGAATTAGAACACTAACAATATTTATAATCACATATAAAAATAAACTTAGTAATAGTAAATTTTTCAAGTTCATTAATTTAAAATTTTAATGGGGTACATAATAAACTCTTTTCACAATATCATAGACATAAAGTAAAAAAAAATATAATAATGTATGAAACTTGAAGAGAAATAAAAAGACATAAAGTACAAGTAATATAACCATATATAATGAAAACTCAAGTATTTGCTAATTTGCTTATTATTTTTAGAATAATTTCCTTTATTGACTTTATTCTTGGGAAAATATCAAAATTATTCTATACCAAAAGAAATCAAACCAAATGATTTCATGCAAGGGGAACAACAGACCTGCACTGGCCTGTGCACGTTGATGTGTGGAAGCAGAGGCTGCCGGATTCTTCCCAGRAGCTTAGTGTAGAACACCAAAACCTGCTGTTTCATTCCTGGAGGGCACTGGTTAGGAAGGAAAGCAAACAGGAAGAGAACAATAATGCAAACACACCTGAACGCCTAACACAGAGGAGGAGGGACACTTGCAAATGCGTTCCACCTCCAAAAGACAAAATGCAGTTGGCCACTGACTTTGTCAGAACAAAATTTTCAATTAATATTAATGTCTGGTATTCTAGAAAAAAAATTATACATCTGAGTCCATAATATAGTGCAGAAAACTATAGCTTCGAGTGATTACAAACAGTGATAATATGCTGCTAAGAGTTGGTTCAGGCAACATTAACCTATAAATGCAAGGGTAACACAAAACTATAGTAGTTGATGCCCTGCTGGAGCAAAGGCAGAAGCTTCTGACTTATACTAATGACAGGTAATCAATAACATTCTATTATCCACACACAGGAGCAAGAAAGCCTCCTAATACACATACTAATGTAAAATTAATCCTATGGTACACACTGTTGTGATTTATTCTAAATTTGCTGCAAAAGTATTTACAATGTGATAATTATAGGCAAAGAATATTCACTAAARAAATATTTGTAACATGCCAGTTATTTTAAGTATTTGCTGAAAAGTAGGTAAACCTAATGATAACTCACACTGTAGATGAAGAGAACATGAATCAGCAGCTTACATGTTCTATAATTAAGCACTGATACTTCCTTCCATTTAAAATATGATCATAAAAGGAATCTTCCCAAACCATCATCATAGATGTGCTACCTGGAAATAGTATAAACTGTAATCTCAAGGACAATTTTTTTTTTTTGTACTGGGGACTGAACCCGGGAGCACTTAACCTCTGAGCCACATCCCCAGACCTATCTATTTTTATTTTGAGTCGTGGTCTCATTAAGTTGCTTAGGGCTTTGCTAAATTGCTGAGGCTAGTCTCAAAAGGGTATCCTCCTGCCTCAGCCTCCTAAGCCACTGGGATTATAGGATATGCCACCACACCAGGCTACAAAATGATATATTTTTTAAATAATTTTTTTCATAATACCTTTATTTTATTTATTTGTTTTTATGTGGTGCTGAGGATTGAACCCAGGGCCTCACATATGCTAAGCAAGTGCTCTACCACTGAGCTACAGCCCCAGCCCATACAATGATATTTTTTAAGATAATAAGTTTCTTGCACTATTCAGGTAAAATGCTAATAATATTTATAATCACCTGTATCAAAATAAATTTACTAGGAGTACAATTACTCTTTGCTAAAAAAAAAAATCAAATAATACTTATACAGTTTAGTGTTGTAGAATCACTTTCTCCAAGGATAGGGGTTGGGGAGATAGGCAGAAAGACAATGAATTACAGGTTATTAGGAATTTGTGGCTTAGAAAATATAAATTGAATGCATTTAACCTAAAATTGAAATGTATTATACACTTAGAAGGAAATTGTCTTTAAAACTAGTCAGAATTCTCTTTGGTATTAAAGTGTGTCCATTATCGTTTCAGTTTGCCTTTCACATGTTATAGAAGTTCACAGAATAGAATCAGAGATTTTTAGAGTTAGGGGAGGCTCCTGATCAATCACTTCCATGCTCTTTTTTTTTTTTTTTAAAGGAGAGAGAGATAATTTTTTAATATTTATTTTTTAGTTTTCGGTGGACACAACATCTTTATTTTATTTTTATGTGGTGCTGAGGATCGAATCCAGTGCCTCGCGCATGCCAGGCGAGCACGCTACCGCTTGAGCCACATTCCCAGCCCCACTTCCATGTTCTTAAAGAGCAGGAAGATTAATCAAAGAGACTTGCCAAAGGTCACAGTGTGTCAGTGACAAAGCTGAAATGGGAAGCAAGGCCTCCTACCCAACCCTAGGCTCCTCCTCTTCCCTCACACTACCAAGTGGTCTCAAAACTGCTCTAAGTACAGTCGTGCACTGTGTGACTTCATTTCAAAGATGAGCCACATATATAAGGATGATCACCATTAGCTTAAAATGGTGCTGAGAAATTCCCATCACCTACTTTTACTATACCTTTTCTATGTTTCAATCCCCATCAGTGTTTTACAACTGCCTACTGTTCAGTACAGTAGCATGCTGCATAGGTTTGTAGCCTAGGAGCAACAGGCTGGACCATATAGTCTCGGCGCGTGGTAGGCTATACCATGAAGGTCTGGGTAGACACACAGGAAATCACCCAATGACACATTTCTCAGAACATATCCCTGTAATTTAGTGATGCATGAATATAATTTGAAAGTCTCATGGCATAAAATGTTATTTATAGGACAGTATTACCTTTGCAAAGATATTTTCAAAATTCATTAGGCCTAAAATTTTGAATTGGTTCCACTCATCAGTTCGTTTAAATGTCAGAATAATCAGTGACATTCTCTTCCAGGACTGTGAAAAATAATTTTTGTAACCCAATTGTCCCTAGGTTTTTTTCCCATTTTCTTTGATTCTGGGCACATGGACTTGAGTTTATTTTCATGAAAGTTTACCCTGGAATCCAAGTGGTCCAGGTACCAGCTGTTGTCTGGAGCACTTGAGAGCTTTGCTATCTCAAAGGATGGCACCTTTGTACAGGCCATACAACGTTTATGCCCCAGGATCTGGACTTGAATCCTGCCATGTGCGATGTGGACCTCTATAATTTAACTGGCCATTTCTTTATCTCTAAGACATCACTGTATGTATTACATGCCCAAGAACATGTTGTGGAGTAGGAACTTACATCAGCTTTCCCTAAGGTATATAATGTTTCCAAGATCTTGTGATGGAGCAAATATTCCATACATGGCCCAGTCTCTCCGGATTCCCGCTCATTTTCTTCCTGAACCAGTATATCTAACATCTGTTCCAGATGGGATGGAATGTTCGTGTCAGTCACTGGGGCTTTGTCATCTGGATAGTAAAAAACAAGCTCATCAAAGAAATATTCAAACATTTTAAACTGCATATTTGCACCTAAAACAACCTCTATTTTTCCCTATTCCTATTCACACAGAGAAAAATCTGAACTACACACTTATGTTAGGTCTATATACATGGTATGATGACCTTTGTGAGAATTAAGATGATGCTATTCCATATTCTTATTCAAAAACTCAGATTCTGAAATAAATTCTATCAGCTAATATTCATCCATGATAATATAGAGTGAGTCATTTATGTGGAAAATGGGAAGATAATTGGTAAAATATATGTAACATAAAAATTTTCTATGTACCTGTAATTTGCCTTTTTTTTCCCCACATAGCTTAGAAGATGTGAATTTTAAGTCTCTTCATATAAAAATAGGTTGGCTTTGACTATTGAGCTGAGAAACCCAGGACATATGGAAATGACAGGTTCTATTTTTTTATTGCTACTACAATTACTTTGTAGCTTTGGGAAGTCGGTCACTTAATGCCCTCAATCCATCTCCATCTTTTAAAATATGAGGAGCCAAAAGGAAACCTACTATTAAAATTTCTGACATCTCCTCTCATTAATAATAGCTATTACCAAAGTTTGTTTTTCAAAGTTGCTTCTTAGAATTCTTACTAAAATTACAGCTTAAAAAAAATAGAAGTTGGATATTTTTAACATCACAGTTGGACTTGGTTTTACTCATCTTTCCATACTGCATGAGGGTTAAATTATTCTTAATAAAATACAAAACATTATAGGCCATTTAAATTCAAAATATTTTAGGAAATGCCAAGCTCTAAGTTCACTTAATCCTTCTACAGCTTGTGCAACACAACCCCTATGAGCTATGTATTGATACATTGCTTCATACATAAGCACATATGGGTACATAAGCACAGTTAACCATAAAACTAAGCTGGATGGAGAAAACAGCGGAAAGAGAAGGGTCACCCTCGATTCCCAGGAGAATACACATATCTAATTTGATATGGTATGGACAGTTGTGAAAAGCACTTGGACTCAAGTAGTGGTTGTTACTTTTAGCTGGATGACTCAGTATAGATTATTCAAGCCTCAGTCACCAACATCTATAAAACACAACTAAAATACAACAGTATGTGCTATTATGTTTTCAGTGAAATAACACATGTGAAGTCCAGTGCCTTAGCAAACAGTAAAAATTCAAGAAATGTTAGCTTATAGGTCTAATTCTGTATTCTTCTAAAATGAGCAACCTCACACTAATACAAGACAATTTATAAATTTGTTTGTAATTTGATTTTTAAAAATGTTTTCCCTATAAATATATAGCTAAGTATAAAATACTCCAGGAAACAATGAGTGTTCAAGCATGATTTGATTATAACTATTCATGGGGAGAAAGTGACCAGAAAGACTTTTTAATTTAAGAAATAAATTAACTAAATTTAATTTGACAGTATCAAAATCCTAGCTCTCTGGAAGACAAGACTTAGTTTCTGCCATCTAAACTATCAATGTCCTTGTACCTCGGCACATGCTAAGCCTTCCACCTGAAATGCCTTCACTCTCCCATCTACCTCACGAACTCCTACTCATCCTTTACAGCCCAGCCCAGGTCAGACACTGCTGCTTCTATTTCTTCCTTCCTCATTCTCTTTCTGTACCTGACACTCTTCTTGACTCAGGTTTTGTTATTTATCCCTTACTTCATTGCAACATACACACTTGTTTCTGCTACTAGGTGGGGAAAACAACTTTTAAAGCAAGAACCTGTGCATTTGTTTAAAGTCCTGAAGAAAGAAAAAAAAATCACAAGGGCTAACTAGGAAGAGTCATTTGAAAATGCAGACATATTAAAAAAACAAAAAAAAAATCACTTTTGTAGATCTGTTTGCTAAACAAATAAGTTAAAAACTAAATTTTACATTTAAAGATATATATTTTTTTCCTAATTTTTACTCATTGCATAAATATGAAGTTGTGCTATTAATGCAGGGATGCTCCTTCTTTTATGTTGTATTGACAGCTGCTTTTGTGTTGTGACAGCAGAGCTGAACAGTTGCAAAGGAGACTGTATGGCTGACAAGGCCTCAAGCATTTTGCTCTCTGACCCTTTACAAAAAACTTGTCAATTCAAAGGGGATATGGGGTGGGGAGCATGGGAGGAATAGATGAACTTTAGATAGGGCAAAGAGGAGGGAGGAGAAGGGAGAGGGCATAGGGGTAGGAAAGACAGTGGAATGAGATGGACACCATTACCCTAGGTACATGTATGAAGATACGAATGGTGTGGCTGTACTTTGTGTACAACCAGAGACATGAAAATTGTGCTCTAAGTGTGTATTATAAATTGAATTGCATTCTGCTGTCATATATAACAAATTAGAATTAAAAAAAAAAAAAGCTTGCTAATCCTTGATGAAATCTATTCACATTCCCCATATTTATCCTCCATTCTTTCTACTCAGTGAGAAAAACAGAAGCAACCAGAAGGTAACTTGTAGATTCCCTATCCAACTTACCTCCCTGCTGTACTGGTCCTAGTTCTGCTTCCTCCCTTGTTTTGGCAGGAAGTGTCCAGTGCCTGCCGAAGGATGGGCATCCGCCAGCACACTGSATCCTAACCCTCTTGCCGACTGAAGGTACTACTCAGAAACCACCTTGGTCGTTCTTGCACCCACCTTGTCCTCTACTAGAATGTTGCCATCAAAGTACAAAACTGCCACGTCTTACATCTTTATAAAAACATAAACCCCCTCTTATCCCCAATCTCCCTCTTGCTTTATGCTAGCACACCTCGAGAGAGCAGTCTATACACATTGTCTATACCTGCTTTCCACCCATTTTCTTCTACATTTATTCCAGTCAGTACTTCTCTTTTCTAGCTGCCATTAAAATGGATTTTATCAAAAACATTAAYGAGGTCTGGGGTTGTGGTTCAGAGGTAGAGTGCTGGCCTGGCATTCATGAGGCACTGGGTTCAATCCTCAGCACCACATGAAAATAAATATTTTAAAAAGAACAAAACACTAATGAATCTGGGCATGGTGGTGCATGCCTGTTATCCTGGAGACTCGGGAGGCTGAAGTAGGAGGATCTTGAGTTTAAAACCAGCCTCAACAATAGAGAGGCACTAAGCAACTCAGTGARACACCGTCSKTTTCTAAATAAAATATAAAATAGGGCTGGGGATGTGGCTCAGTGGTCGAGTGCCCCTGAGTTCAATCCCTGGTACCCCACCCCCCAAAAAAACCCACTAATGAGCTCCTTGTGGCTAAAGCCAGTGATCCATTTTTTGTCTTCATTAGCCTGCCGTCAGCATCATGAGACAGAATGGTCTCCTCTTCTTTGAGCACACCATTCTCTCCTGGCTGTCTTCTACCTCGCTGAGAAAAGCAGTTTGCTTTGCTGTTATCCTCCCCTTCCCAACCTCCSAACACTGAGCCCAAAGGTGTTTTTTGAATACCTTCTCTTTCATCTCTCCTTCCTCCCTAGATCTCGACATGTGGCTTTAAATCCTACTGACATACTGATGACTCAATTTCCTATCTCTRAAGTCTAGATGCCTGTTGGAAATTGTCTACTTGAGAAATCCAACTACTTGATAGGCCTCTCAAACTCAACAAGTCCAGAATTCTCTTCCAAACCCACTCTTCCCTCAGAGCTCCTATTCTCAGTAAGTGGCACCTCTAATTTTCCAGCTTCTTAGGCCCAAACCTTTAGTTACCTCCTATGACTCTTACATCCTCATATCTAGTATCCACCAACCAACCTTCCTTCAAAATACATTCAGAATACAATCAATTCTTACCTTTTCCACCCAGTCTAAGTCACTATGATCTCTCGCTTGGACAATCCTTGCCTGACCCTTCCACCAGCTGTAACCCACTGTCCCTTCAATCTAATCTTTCTCATAGGTCAAAGTGATTGGGACTTGCCAAGCAGGCAGTTCAGCCCCAGGGTTTGTGACCTTGGTCCTCTGCCTGGGACACTCCCCCRGTCATCCAGCTGGCTTAGTTCCTCTCTTCTTTAGATTTCAGCTCAGATCACTTTGGGTGTTGTGGCTTTCCCTAACTTAAAATAGATAACTGCCCATTGTTACCCCAGACACATACTTCTAACTCCATAGCTGGCCTTATTCTCCCCTTTATACCATCTGGAACACTATGAATCTGCCATTATTGTTTGCCTCTCTGCTAATCAATCCATAGAATCTATCAGGACAGGGAGTTGTCTGACTATTCTATCCCCCATTGCCTAGAGCAATGCCTGACACGTAAATGTTCAAAAAGATACATTTTAAAATGAATAAATGAAGATAAAAGACAAAGTAAAGTTAAAAATGTTTAAAATTAAATATAAACTAATTTTGAAATTTTATTTTAAAATATATTTTAGTATACCATAAATTTTGCTTAATTAATATCAGCATCATTCCTTACCTGAAGTCTCTATGTAGTAATGGGTAATTGCCTTCCAGTGATAAACAAAATCTTCTTGTAGAGGAAGAGAAGGAGCGAGCTATACAAAAACAAAGAGACCAAACATTTATGAACATGGCATTAAAAGTTTCCTATAAAGTCTAACTCTATGTATTATGCAAACGCAGATTAAACAAGGTTGAGCTTTAATTTGACTTGATGCCAGATATCAAAGAAACAAAATGAGTTGGAKTCAAGAATTAAAAATGATTTATTCAAAAAGAGGAAAATCACATTTATCAACATTATTAAAACATGATATTGGGCTTTGCCCCTTCCCTGTAAATCTGTGGCTTCAAAAGTAGCTATATTAAACAAAAACACAGCAATATTCTATACTGAGGGGTCAGCAAAATCAAATTATTGAGGGGGCTGGGGTGGTGGCTCAGTGTTAGAGTGCTTGCCAAGCATGTATGAGGCACTAGGTTCGATTCTCAGCACCTCATATAGATAAATAAAATAAAGGTCCATTGACAACTAAAACATATTTTTAAAAAATCAAATTATTGATAACCAGAGATCTTTGTACTTAGGACTTTGAAATACAGAGTGGTAAAGAGCTGCYATGCAATTAGTTACACATCACCACTATTAAAACACACAGCAAAAGCAAAGTCATAATCGGATTAAACTGTTCCCTACTTTTGGTGACATATTGATGCAAATCTTTTTGTGTTTAAGCCTGGATTCGGCAATGCATCAAAATAACTACATGAATGAGACGCTAYCAATTTAAATTCCACAAAGTCAAAGATGTTTTACATTTTAAGCTTTGAAATTCACTTCAGAAGTTTTAGACCAAAATTACATCCCTCAGTCATCTTCCTGCAAATGGACAAGCATTTCAAATGGATGTGCCTTCCCCAACATATTCTTTTCCTGAGATAGRGAGCGAGTGCTCGCCCAGCCATACTGTTGTCAATTTTTGTAAGAAGTACAGAGTTGACGCAGCTTTAAGAACAACGAGGCTTCTCTTCTGGGAACCTGCAGGACAGCAGAGGAATCTCCCACTTTCATATGCTTCCTCCAACCAGAGGGCCTAAGGGAGGCCAGGTTACTCTGTACTCCTGCTTGTTCCACTTTGACTTCTAGGTGCCCTCACTATTGACCTCAAAGTTGACAACCCTTTCAAAATAATCTCTAAACTACTGTGCAAACTAAATATCAGTCATGGACATCTTAGGTGTTTCAACCCAGAAGAGGAAATGAAAAAAAATAGATCTGAAAAATGCTCAGTGATCAGCACATCTTAATGCTAGTGGCTCTTCCGCACCAAGCAGAACTGGGTTAAGAGAACCTAAATGTGCACCTCGTTTCTCCATAAAATGCTGTGAAACCCTTTTTAAAAGACTTTAAGGAGTTAAAACCTGTGGGAGTACCACACTTCAAGGAGAACATGGGGAGAGAGACACRGGAAATTGAGAAAAAAAARTTGTGAAAAAGGAATAATCTTTCTGAAATTTTCAGATGAAAAGAAAAAAATCTTTTAGTGGGCTTCTTGGTTTCATAATCTTCTTCAAAATACAGAACATTTCCCTAATTTTTTGGACCTAGCTTTTATAGACTACCATTCTATTGCTCAATGTACAAAGAAGCAGAATAAGCAAATGGAATTCCCCGATTCAAGACCTGAACCTCCGTTTGGTTTGGTTTTTATACCCAAGACGCTTACCAACTCAGCGACATCCCAGCCCATTTTGTTTGTTTGCTTCTTAATTTTTTAAATTTTGAGACAGAGTCTCTCTAAATTGCTTGGGGCCTTGATAATTTACTGAGGCTGACCTTGAACTTGTCATATTCCTGCCTCAGCCTCCCTAGCCACTGGGATTATAGGCTTAGTTTTTTAAGTGCAAATGTGGTGGTGTGATAAATTTTTCCAAGGAAACTCTTAGGACTCTATGGAATTACAGCATCCCTTTTCCAGGTCATTTCACCAGTGGGACTTAACTGTAAGTCACTAGACCACAGAGGTCTTTCAGGATTTGTACTGCGACCTCTGCTGCAGAATAKAGTCAAACTCAAAGCAGAACAGTGTTTAGTTACCTCTCCCCAGTGGGTAGATAAACAATTCCAAATAATTGCTAATATTTGAGATTAGCAACAATTTTACTCAAACRTGAATAAATTTCCTTATGCCAAATTTTCTAGTTATTAATTTTAATATGAAAATTACTTGTTTTATCATTGCATTAAAACATCCACACTCTGAGGATGGGGATATGGCTCAGTTGGTAGAGTGCTTGTTTAGYATGCGTGAGGCCCTGAGTTCAATCCYAGCACAAAAGAAAAGAAAAATCATGCTCTGGATTTTAAAAGAGAAAGAAATGTGTGTGAATCAGCACCAGGAGATTCTAATTTAACTTTTTGCTATACAGAGATTAAATTTCTAAAAATTCATGCAATTACTATCTGAACCATGAACATCCAACTGGGACTATGTTCTCTGGGAAGCCTCTCCCTTCAGTWCGAAGGTTCCCTCTATCAGCCTGATGCTCTCCCCCAGTCTATCCCTTCATCAGTGTTCATTAGCCATCTCCTYCCCTGGACTATAAACCCCTGGTAGATGGGATGGTGTCATCATTTTCATCCTTCAACCTCTGGTTTTTGGCTCAGTGAGGGCACAACGTCAGTGTTCAATAACATTTGTTGAATGGCATGGCAGTCTCCACTGTTTGATGAATTGTTACATTACAAAGTTTACACACACTATATGGTCTTAAATWCTCATAATAAACTTCCATTTCTGCTCAGATGCCTATAAAGATCCAAACCCAATTAACTGTCTTGTCATTAGGATACAGTGCTTTTAAATAGAAACCTGGACTTTCTCTACAATGTCCAACACACAAAAGAAACTACATTGATAATTCAAATGACAATTGGYGTTCAACAGCCGCCTCCGCTTTCACTGTCACAAATCATGCACATTCTACTCCTGGATTTTTTTAAATGCCTCTTCCCCTCCCAGCTTTCTTAACATCCTTTCCTATCTTCTCTGCCTCTCCATAATCTAGCAAGTCTCCATTCTTCCAGACATTCTCCAACTACTCCAAAGTGCTTGTTCCCAACCTCAGACCTCACTGGCCTGACCAAACAAATCATCCAAATAATAATGATAATGGTCAGAATTTACTGAGCACTTACTAGGTGCAAGGTACTGCTCTAAGAACTTCCTGTACATCTCATTTTAATCTCTCCAACAATTCTAAAAAATGGATCTAATTCTTTCCATTTTATATCAAGGAAACTGAAATGTATGATGACTTTGTAACTTGTCCAAGTAAAGAAGTACTGGACAGGCAAGAATGGAACCCTATTGTGCCTGGCTCTAGGGTGGAGGTCACATTCTTGTGTATTCCTTATTCTAAGATTTCATTTGTTTTTTTTGTTGTTGTTGTTTGTTTGTTTGTTTGTTTTTAGAGTGAGAGAGAGAATTTTTTAATATTTATTTTCCATTTCTCGGCGGACACAACATCGTTGTTTGTATGTGGTGCTGAGGATCGAACCCGGGCCGCACGCTACSGCTTGAGCCACATCCCCAGCCCTAAGATTTCATTTGTGTATTTGTCTGGCTTCCTAAATTAGACTATAATCACTGTGACAGATATACCTGGTTTCCCCAGCACTGTGTCATGCTTTTATGGCAGCTCATAAAACATCTGCTAAATAAGAAAAGGACTGAGGTCAGAGGTCACCTGTTGGACAAAAATATACCTAAGAAAACACCACACACAGCTAGGGATACAGCTCAGGGGTAAAGYATGCTTAAGACCTAGAGATCAGGCCCCAGCACTGAAAGAGAAAACATTACATGTGTTTGATTTGAGGTTTAATTCTCAACACAGAGTAGATTTTTTAAAGAACTGCTGGTCCCAAAAATTATCATCTATATTCATCATTATATAATTATCATCTATAATTTGAAAACACTGCATCTGAATGCTAAAGAATGACCTCCATGAAATTCCTTAAAATAGATAAAACTTTCTTCCCTGACACTGTCCTTTATCCTCTCTGGAATAAATCTGTCCTCAAGGGTGGAATTGCTTGGAATTTAGGAGGAACTAGCGCCTGACACAAAGACTAAATTGTACGGAATGAAAAGTGTGTCCTTTATTCTTTGGAAAGGTTGTGCTAACTATCCAATCCAGCCTGGGAACTAACTTTACCAGAGGCCTAACTTCAGACTTGAGACATGTGGCCACTAACAGAACTCAGTCCATTTCACAAGACTCTCCCCAGCCAATCATTTCCAAACTGAGGGAAGAGTGTCCTTTCTGAAAAGGAAAACAAGAATCACATTACAGTTCTTGTTTTTGAGCAAGTGGGAATTTCTCTCCTACACTCAAAATACAGCCTATCAGCTTAGTAACACATTTTCAAATACTACTCTTTGAAATGTGTTTTTTATATTTTCCTCTTTGTAAGTAGTTAACAAGAAGTGAGGAGACCCATTAATTAAACAAGAAGGAAAACTCCACATCTACCCTCATTTAGGTGAATATGCTTCTGAAAAACCTTTAAAAAAAAAATGGGAAGCATGATCCAATTGAGTATAAAAACTTAAGAAAGTGACAGTACAAATGGTTGACAAAGCCTTATTCTGCAGACCCTCACAGTAACAACTGAAAAAATGTCACATCGGCCTCCAGGTACAGGGTTCCATCCAACCTCCATACAACCCTGATAATTATATTAACAGGAATGCATCAGAAATTAAAAGGAGTACAGAGAAAAGCTAATGAACTGAGGGATGGTAAGGTAAGTTTTAGAGAGGAAACTATCAAGCAAATAATACATGGAATTGAATAAACTAATCTTGGGTTATGAAAAAACATTCTTCAAATTCCATGAGATGGCTTATCTGTCATGACATATGAGTTCAATCCCAAGAGAAAGTTAAAAGGGGAAAAAAAAAAAAGATACATCAAAACATTTTCACAAGCTGTACCTCCTCTGGAAGTAAACTGGGTGAATGGTATCACAGCTACAAACATTAGCAGAGGGCAAATGAAACAGTGCATTTCCAAGCTGACACCTTACTTTGGAGGGACAGGGGAATATAAGCCACTCTAACCTCTCACTCACCTTAGTAAAGTCAGAAGTGGATATTAAAGAGCCAGACTCACATAACTTACGGGGATAATTTGGTAGATAATATATACAATCATAAAAGATTATGACAGAAAACACAGGCCTCAGGACAAAAATGAATGTTTACTGAAGAGTGGGAAAGCCTCTTTCTATGTGCTTATTTCTGTAAGTAGCCTGAGAGGAAAAGGATAAAAATAATGGAGGGCTGGGGCTAGCTCAGTGGCAGAGCTTTGCCTAGCATGTGGGAGGCACTGGATTCCTTAGCATCACATTAAAAAGTAATAATAATAAACAAATAAAATAAAGGAAAAAAATGGAATAAATTTTTATTCCCAATTATCCCAGTATCCCAGTTCCGTTGAGTGCCAAAAGTTAAATGATTTCGGGTGTTTTAAAAAATAACTCAAAATATATCATTTTCCTTGTCAATTTTAAAATCTTTCACACCATGCCTGTGTCTAAAGAAATAAAACTAAAAATCGTGCCTTAATATCCAACTGTCCTGTCCCTCCTGGGTAGCTCCAAGACACCTGCCTTTCCTGATCTGATGTTTCCTCAAGAGCTTTTTCTGGGGCTAATTATACTCCACTTTTTGTTACCGACCATAAAAATATTCTGTCGTCCTTGGGTTTTTTTTATTTTTTAAAAATCGTGTGGATTTTAAAGTGCTGTATCACATAATCGGAACATCAAARGAGAATGACTTTTTTTAAAAAATGGGCGAGGTAATTGTTACCTCACAGAATGCATTATTCAATATGGGAAATTCTCGCAGAATAAAGTAAACAACTGAAGTAAAGCAATTGGCCCTTTCATTACTAAAACAGTGACAGGCTATTCTGTTGGGTTTCTCCTCGTTCATTTGTCTGCTAGGCTCTCTGAACACTGTCCCTCTGTGCTGGCGTCTAACTCCTCAAAGGAGGGCACAATTGCAGGATAAACCAAGAGTGTCCAGGAAGCGCTTTAGACAAGGAAACAGATGGTCTCTGCTGGGTGAGCCTGGACGCAGTGGGAACCAGCTCGCCTGGACCTTGCCCAAGCCTATAGCAGATCAATCAATAAGGTCCAGCTGAGCTGGCCGCCAGGCCCGAGCAGGCAAGGCTAGCACGTTATGAAACTGGGTCTGGCCAGCTGCTTCCTCGCCTGTGTCCCCTCGGCCGGATCGCACCTCTCCCTGCCCACCCTCCACCTCGCAAAAAGCAAAACAAAACAAAACCSAGCCCCGCCGCGTCCGCTCGTTTCTTTTGTCCTGCTCGGCGCTGGCCACCTTTCCCCGAGGGCTAACGGTCGGGGCGCCGGGGCCTCCCCGGGCCGCAGGTGCGGTCCGACTCCCCCGACCCCACCGGCGGGAGGAGGCGCCCAGCGAGCCGGGGGCGGCCGGTCTGCGCTCCGCTGCGGGAAGGGGTCCCCGTCGGCTCCGAGCGCGGAGAGGGCCCGCCGCTCGCGGCGCCCCCGGCCTCCACTCCGCGGGCCGCGCCGCGCGCCGAGCCCCGCCGGCGGGGAGCGTAGGCCCCGCCATCCCCGGCCTGCCGCGCGCCGCGGCCCGGGCCTTACCGCCTCCACGGCGTGCTGCAGGATGGAGGTGAACTTGGAGAACATCCTGTCCCGGGACTGCAGCAGCTTCTCCCGGGACGACCTGGAGAGCTCCTCGATCCGCCGCCGCCGCCCCTGCTGCGGCTGCCGGGGCCGCTCCAGAGTGAAGGCCGGTGCGAGCGGCGAGTAGGAGCAGAGACCGCGGCGGGCCCGACCCGGCCGCGTCGGTGTGCGGGCGGCTGCGGCGGCGCAGGGGCGCGGCGGGCGGCTCGGGGGTCGTTCGGCGCGGACTCGGGCCCCGCGGAGCTGTGGCGGCGGCGGCGGCGGCGGCGGCGGCTTGGACACGGTGGCAGCCCGGCTCGGGTTCCTTCCGCCCGCTCTGCCCGCCGCCGCCTGCAGGGGGCGCCGCCGCGGCCCGGGGAGGCCCCGGCCAGGCCGGCCCTGCAGCTGGGCGCCGGATGCCACGGGGGCGGGCGCGGGCCCGGCAGCCGCCGCCCTCCGCGGGCTCGGCGCGCCCCGCAGCCCGCGCGCGTGTTTGTACTCGGCAGCGGCCTTCGGTTTTGTTTCTCTGGTGGAAGTGAAATGCCGACTGTGTAGGGCCACGGGGCCCTTCCCGTTTGTGYACCATGTTCAGAGGGTGGTCATCTGAGGACAGGTTGGAAGACTGGTAAAAACGCACGCCCTGATGGACAGGCCAACGGACCGGAGGTGCAAATGCCGAGAATTCGAACAAGTCAGAAATGCAGGTGAAATGGCTTTGCTCACTGTAGAACTTGCCATCATTGTTATTCAGCAATAAAGCAGGAAGTCCCCAGTGAACCAGCGGTAGTTCAGTTACATAAATATGGTAATGTACTGTCATCATCGTTAGTAGTAGTATTTGTAGTGGGGATTGAAGCCCCGGACGCTTTACCACTGAACTACATCTTGGTCATCTTGTGATTTTTGTATTTCGAGACAGGGTCTCACTAAATAGCCCACTCTGGCCTCAAACTTGGGATCCTCCTGCCTCAGTCTCCCCAGTGGCTGGGATTACAGGTGTGCACCACCGTGCAGGGCAATCTACGCGTTTGATACATGCAACAATTTAGTAGAGCATTTTCTGTTCAGTTATTGGATGATACTGGAAAACATTAGTGAGGAAAAGAATCCGAAAGGATTCTAGGAAATGACTAGGACTGATAATGGAAGCTACAATGTAGGCATTTAGGTGGCTTCTTAACATACTGTGCAACAGTCTATTAGTCAAGCCTGGAAAAAACTGTACAGGGTGGAAGATTTTAGCTTTTGTGGATACAATTTTACGAAAACGCCCATATCCTGGAGAGCTTTGTGTTTGCTTTATGCTAGTTTTGGTGTTTTACCAAAAGAAACAGCAAGTTTTTGATAAGGGTGGAGTAAATTTTGCACAACCACTGATGAAAATATGTATTTACAGCTGAAAAAAGAAAAAGCAGAAAAAGTCACAGCCCTGGGGAGGAGAATTAAGGAGCCRGGCTGTGGAGCTGGGTAGCCTGTTTAAATCCCATCTGTCACTCACCTGGGGCAAGTTTGTGCTTTGTTTTCTCATCTGAAGGAAGGGGAGAGTCACACCSACCTCATTGTGGAAGTTAATGACTATCAATCACTTCAACAGTGCCTAGTCCATAGTAAGAGATGCACAGGCTTTAGTTATTGTTAGTAAGAGTAGTTGGCAAAATTGTTGAGCCCCAAATTAAGATTTAAGGAAGAGATTTAGTCTTGTCTTCTTTCCCCCTGCTTTTGTTGCTTAAACCCCTGTTTCACTCAAGGGCCAGTAAATCTGACCTAAAATTTCTGTAGTGAAGCCCATGCTGGGAGTCTTCCTCTGTTGTTTGCTAAACACTGAATTGTTTTCCTTCTCAAATTCTGGCTCCTGTTCCTGTTTCAACTAAGAACACATCATGTTATTATTATTATTATTATTCACAAAGTTTAAGATGGTTAGTCATATTATTAACCATAATTATTTTCCTGGCCTAATTGTCATGCATTTATATGGCATTTTGTATTTTCATAATTCCTTGCAACCACAAATTGCATGCACAGGTCTGTTTAAGAGGCTCAGAGTTGTTCCCATTTGATGCCTATCACTGCATTCCTGTTATAAGTGCAACACTATAAATATTTTGGTCTATATTAACGTTAATACTTAGGGTAATGATTCATCTGCTTGATATCTAATTTCCAAGACATACGGACTAGAATTATCACTGAGCAGATATTCCTATTTTTTATTGTCATCCTGCAATGCCTGCAGTGACATGAACATCCACATCAGCCCAAATCCAGGGTGCAGTGAGACCTACTTCAACCCAGCATGATTCAAGAAAACAYAGAAAGGCTTCCCTTAGCCTCCCAAACACTTAGGTTTGGCTTCCTGAAATTCCTGAACTACCACTTTATCCTTTATTTATTTAGCATAAGCCAAACAAGAAATTTAGTCCCTGTTAAAATACTATTATTGAGAGAAAGAACACTTAAACTTTATCATCCATTATCCTGAGGGTGAATGAATTTATGAAATTCTTTTCTAAAATGAAGTTTAGCCAGTGAAGTCACAGAAAAAGGGATTCCGCCTTTTGGGTCCCCTTCTTCCTCCAGGAGTAAGTCTTTTYTGTTATTCTTTAATAAAGCCTTTCTCTTTCCACTCAAAAAAAAAAAAAAAGTCACAAGAAAAACCCTAAAAACTGAAGCCTGATWGGGGTGGAGTTGAGAAAAGGGATAAAAGAAACACAACTAGATGATATCTGCTTCCAAAGTTTGGCAGACTTCTGGCTAAATATGTGGGTGGACACATACATTTAGCAACATCTCCTCCCCAAGCTTCACTAAAATGACAGTAAAGGAATTTTTCAAAGGATAAATCCAAAAGAACAAATAAATTGGGAGAGGAGATAACAGCAACAAAATTTCGAGAACTGGAGAGTAGCTGTAAAGTGATCAACTGATGTGACTGAACAAAGCTGAATCCTAAGGCAACAATAAAGAAAGCCAGGAACCAAAGTAGCATATGGATATGGTCACAACCTCTAATGGCTCAGGAATTGGTGGCATTCAATACCTCAGAATGTAGAGGTAAAAGTRGGACCAAAACTAGCAGAATGGATTGAAAATTTAATATTAGACTCCACCCTACTGCACARGATTGGCTGACTGCCCCACTACCCCCTTTCTAATACTGWTATATGATCAGAGACTTGCTCTGGGTACGATCAGAAGTTGCATTTGGAGAGGGATGATAAAGTGAAAGTAAACACTGTGACTGTTGAGAAATACATCCCCAACCCTTGTTCTCCTCTTGATCCTTCCATGTAGAGGACAGGAAAGGTCTCTGAAGCTGGGGTTGTRGCTCAGTSGTCATGCTCTTGCCTAGCATGCGTGATGCACTGGGTTTGATTCTCAGCACCACATACAAATAAATAAAGTTCCATCAACAACTAAAAAAATAAAAGATAGGAAAGGTCTCTGAAGAATCCAGAGAAAAGACCTAAAGATACAAAGGGAATCTCYAATGACACCGTCCATATACTCAGAAATTCTAATCAGTTTTATAATGTGTTTCTCCTAAATCTGATTGGATAACCCTGGGGTCATCAAACATTTGAGGAAAGCTTATAACATTAATGACAGAGACCAAAAGAAACAAACAGGACAGAGATGGGGGGGGGGGAATTTGGAAGAAACACTTGCTTTCATTGATCTGTTGGGAGGAGATGGGGAATAAAACTTTGAAAAAGAAACACTACCAATGACATTCTCAAAGAGATAAAATAAGATATTGCAGTCATAAAAGAAGACTCATGTGCTATTTCTAAAAAGCAGTATGTAGACAACAAAAAGTAACTTTTAGACATTAAGACCATGATAACAAGCAGGGCAGGATGGTTCACGCCTATAATCCCAGCAACTCAGGAGGATGAGGCAGAAGGATCACAAGTTAGAGGCCAGTCTCAGGAACTTAGTGAGGCCCCCAGAAGTGAAACCCTGTCTGAAAGTAAAAATAGAAAGGGCTGGGGATGTGGCTCAGGAGTTAAGCACCCCTAGGTTCAATCCTCTGTACTAAATAAATAAATAAATAAAAGAAAAAGAAAAATTAATATAAAAGGAGGAAAATAAATAATGTTTCCCAAAGACTATTGCAAAAGTAATGAAGGCATGAACAATGGAGGAAAACACATTATAAAATTATAGGGCCTCTCCAGTGTGTATAATATCCAAATAGTTGGAGAGAATACAGGAAGACAKCAAACTAAGTAATCAATAAAATTGAATAGATTTGAAAAACATAGTTTCCAGATTGAGATGGTCGGTTAAATAACAGAACAATGAATTAAAACAAACTCACTCTAATTGACATTATTGTGAAACTCCAGAACACTAGTTTCAAAGAAAGATGATACTTCCAATGAGAGAAAACAAAAACAAGTTTAAACAAAGAATCAAGGATTACTGGCATATCACTTTTCAGCAACAACAGAAGAAAGTGAGAAGGCCTTGGGGGCAATGGCTTTAAAATTCTGAGGTAAAATTTCCAACCTAAAATTCTATGCTAAGACAGCAAGTGTGAGGATGAAATAATTTATTTCAGATGTGCAAGATGTTGGAAGTTTTTCCTGCCTTGAACCCTTTCAGGATAAACCACTAGAAGATGTGCTGCAAAAAAMCTCAGGGAGTAAATCAAGGGGGAGATCCCATCACAGAGAGAGGGGAGACCCACAAGCTAGTTCAGGTGAGAGCAGGTAGCAAGGCTCCAGAGAGGTTTCCTGAAGACAAAACTGGAAAATGGAATATCTAATGTGTCTGAGAAGATTTTTCCAGACAGGGGAAAGGTTGATATTGAATTAGCAATGGATACAAAGAAAAGGAAAGAAAGAGGAAGAAGAATTAAAAAAAAAAAAAACACACCTAGATTATTATTAACACCAAGAAGAATAAAATGTTAAAAAGTGCAGGAACAGGTAATCAGAGTACTTGTGGCAAAATTGTGCATATCATTTGCACAGCCACTGTAAACAGTCAATACTGATCTAATTAAAGCTCTAGTATTGCTATTGCTTTATGGGGAAGATGAAAAATGGATATGCATTGGGAGTGGAATGTCCCAATGCAAAGCTAACTCCTCCTCCTCTGTACTGGGGAAACACTAGATATTGCTTAAGACAGAAATATTAAGAAGTAACCTAAGCATATTTATTCTAAAAGGAAGGAAATCGTAAAAGAGTGCCCTCAGATGGTTGAAAGGGGTGGGCACTATGGGGCAGGAAGTTGGGAGTTTGGGAGGAAGGACAGAAATTTTCATAACGATACTTGTAAAAGTTTTTTGGCTAACCATATCCTGGTGTAACCCCAAATTTGTTTGGCATGTGGAGA